ACCCCAACCCTTTTCTTATGGCTCTCACTCATACATAAGCGCTGGTATGCTCTACCCTGTCCTGTTACTGTTGTATTGTCACACCAGAGCAATGCTTGGCATAGTACAGCTTGTTTGTGTTTAAAGAGTACGTGATGAATCAGTGAGTCAATAAGTGTTTGTAAAACATACGTATTCCAATATGCAAAAGGAGTTCACATGCAAATATGACATATTTTGTAAAGCCCTTTGAAAGACTGTTTGCTTTACAACAGCATGATGTTACTTGAAGTATTACATATTTCACTACTTCTTAATGAGTTAATGGTTTATATGAAAATGCACTGTTATCTAACCTTTACAATTGTAAAATACTTAAAGCAGGATTTTCAAATAAAATCATGCCATAATTGCATAAGGTGACTGCATGTCTTTACCAGGTGAATAATTCCTCATTAGATGTTAATAGTGACAAAATATAATGTATGGATGTTATCAGTGCAGATGATTGAATGCACTTAGGCCTATGCAGATTGAGACTTTAGCAGGTTCACAGAGGAATATGGAGATACATATATGAAAGGATACACAAAACTACCTACAGCAAAACCATTTATTGTTTACAAAGCAGGTAAGGCCAGACTTCATGCTTTCCTAAACTGTGGTATGACAGAATGTTCACAATTCTGAGATTCCGAAACCTGGGTTTCTAGCCATACATTTACTGCTAACTCAAGTGATTTAAACAAGTTGCTCTGACTTCTAGAACGTGCGCCCTGTTAGGACCAGGTTCTCTCTCTTGATTCATGGCTATATACCAACATCGAAAAGAGACTGGGCCCAGAATAAATACTGCACAGTGTTCTTGCCTGCATTACCTTTCTGTCTATTTACAACCTCTTTACACATAAGACAATAATCCCCCCAGCTCTTACATTCTAAATTAACATTAAGCCCTGATAGCCCTTACGAATTTGAACAAGGCAGAATCAAAGCTGAAACTGCTTATTTAGCTTCTAGTCAGGTCTTTGTCAGGCTCAGTCCAATGGCATCTTTTTGTTGATATTTGTTAATCTAAATTAGTCAACCAGTGGGTGTCAGTTCTTTGGCTGGCTTCCCGCCTAAGAATTACACAAGACTTGAAAATTATAAAAGCATTATTCGAGTTTACAGGATTGGGTGAATATAAAAATTTAATAACTTACCTCTTAAATGTAATATTTTTCTTTTTCCAAAGTTTATAGTATATAAATGTATTTATACAATATTTATTTCATATTTATACAATATGAAAATTATTGAGTTTAAAACAGCCCTAAAAGTTTCTAAAGTTATGCCCTGCTTTTAGAAAAATGGATATGTCAGTTTAAAATTGGAAACAAATTAGAGCTGGAATGTGGCTCATCAGTAGGAATTCACTCTAATTTTCTAGGAGACCTGAGTTGCTCTCCCGACTCTTATATCGTCACAACTGCCTGTAAATCCAGTTCCAGGGATTCTAACTCTTTCCTCTGACCTCTGTGGGCACTGCACATACATGACACATACACTCAGACACACACATGCATAAAAATTTGTGAGAGTACAAAAAATAAAGGTTATTCATTTCTAAAGTTTTTTCTTTATCTGCCAAACAAATGTGTAACAGGTGTTAAATATTTAAACCTATGTTTAAATAGTTTAACCTGTGTTTAGTAGACTTTAAAAATATCAGGTTTGGGCTCTCAACAACTCGGTTACCTGGATACTCAGATACCCATGGAGTCCTGAGATCTGTGGCAGCAGATCTCTGGGCCAGAGTCAGCATCATCATCAAAAGAGGACTTCAGGGACCTGAGAGCTACTGTATAAACCATCTCTGCAGACTGCTCACCAGCGTGCTCAGCCTCCCTGTCGCTGATTCCACGACCCACTGTACAGTATGGAACTTCCCTTCTCCTTCGATGCTTTGCAAATGACGTCCCTACTGCTCCACCCCACTGCTATCTGTATCCTTACTCTGTCCAGTGTTTAATTCACAGCACCTATTACCTCCGATAATATATCTTGGTTGTTTTCTTCTCTTGTGTACGCAAAGTACAATGTAATCTTGATGGTAGCAGAACATTTATAGTTTTAATATGTGTCTCACATCTCGGATTGGGCATGACCATAGAAAAGTTTTTGTAAGCAATTACTGATTGAAGGATGAAAGAATGAAAAATTACAGTAACCTGAGACTCCCAATATAATCCTCTTAACAGTTCTTCCTCCAGCTCCCAATAGAACCTCACCATTTACAGTCTCTGCTAGGGCTCTATTTCAGTATGAATTGGTACTCCACCCTGGCCATATTACCTCACAAGCCCTTGGTAAACAATCATCATAACTTCACTTCTCTTGACACTTTGATATACAGACCAAACATCATTCATATAAGATGTTTTGTTTTTACACATTTTGTGGTTTTTACAAATATATAATTAGATCTTAAGGGTGGGACTAAGTATAAACATGAAATTTATTCATGTTTCATGTACATTCTACTCATACTCTGGAAACTTTAATATAATACTTTAAATAATTTTTAAGAAATTCATATATGCATACAGTATATATTAATTATATTTACCTCATACTCCTCCCCATATCTCACTCCCACCCCTCTCCAAATTCATATTTTCTCTATTTTTTATAGCCCACTGATTCTTCTTTGGGCTGTTCATATGCTCGTGGTGTGGGCTATCTTCTGGAGTTTGATTGACATACCAGGGACCAATTCTTGAAGAAAACTGACTTTACCTACCCCTGAAGCCCTTTTAGTCCACCTCTATTTTGATTATGCCCTATCACATAGGAATTTTTTACTTGTAACATCATATCAGCACCCATAAAGCTTGGGAGTTTTGAGGTGGTTATACTTTTTGGATTAGAATATTCATTCAACTTGTATGCCCATGGCTTTCTCCTATCTCTGAAGTGGGATCTAACCAATTCATAGGTATAAATGAGAGATGTTCTAACAACACCCTATTTTTTTAAATAACCACACCTAAGAAGTAGGCATGGTATATAAACAAATGAATGCCAACAGTAGTTACAGTGGCCATGAATGAAGTTCCTGTCCTCAGTTAGTAGATATGTTCTATAAAAATAAGTCACGTGGGAATAAACAAGAGACCCAAAAGGAGAAATAAGAAAAGAACTCTTGAGTCTCAGGTGGGAAAATTGGGACATGGCTGTGAGTGTTGGTAGCACTGTAAATGCCACGTCCTTTCTAGAAGGGCAATTCAGAAAATACAATGGAGATCACTAGCATTTCAATTCCTTGGGGTTTATTCTGTAAAAACTTCTCTATCATAATTGGAATGCCTATAAGTGCAGACATAGTTTAGTTTGAAATCTGCATTGCTATCTAACACAGCAATGCTAACATTTTAATGTGTTATATTGGTTGTAATGAGAAAATGGCCTGCTAGAATGTGTAATAGCCCATTGTTGAGTTTAAAAGTATCCTTCTTGACAAGAGGGATGGCAGTGAGCAACACTCACGTGTCATCTGCACTCCCAGATATTGATTTAACGGCAAAATAACAGCAAGTAGACAGAAGTTTTATGACGGATACAGCATGAGAGAAGAAGAATCCTGAAGTAGGACAAGGAAATAAAGACCATCTTCAATGTTTGCTGTTTCTGTAATACTTAACACTTTGTAATATACATACATTCTCTTTAGCAAAAATACCAATAAGAAAGTGAGCAGTAAAAAATGTAATAAATCTACCAAAAGCATCTATAAGAATATGTAGTATACTATATAAGTGTTATATCAGTTTATTTTTATATTTTATGATACAAAATGCTAGAGACACAGTGACCAAAATGAGAGGGTAAATGTTACCATTTATGTGATGTATTTAAGGGTGTATTTAAATACTCATATTTGTGAAAGATAATGGCAAAGGAGTATTTTCGTATATATGCATCTTATATATGAAAAGTACTTATATGTTTCTAATGAGTCTTAAATTATACAACACGAAATGGTAAAGCAGAAATGTAAATGGACTTTGTCTATGGATAAAAAGCTTTGTAGTTTGTCTTACCTTTAGGCATTGATTGTATGTATAAAAAGTAAACATTTTAGATGTTCATTGTCAAGCTATGAGTAAAATACTGGGTAATGCATTGCACAGGGATCAGAGACTTTGCTCTGAATTTAGTTTATGAACAACTGAAATGAGCCTGGTGTGGTGGCACATGTGTAAAATATCAACATGTGGCGGCTGAAGAAGGAATGTTGGGAGCTCAAAGCTGGTCAGTGCCACCTCGGGACGACAAAACCAACATGAGCTATACAATAAAACGCTACCTTAGAAAAAATGAAATGGAAATGAGCTAGTATACAGTTCAAATGATAACAACTCCCCCTCGATGCTAGGCAGGTCATAGGGCTGAATCAGAAAGCTGGAGAGAGTCACGATTCCTTAGAATGAAGATAGTTTACACCTGTTCTACCTGATTAGGTAACCCATATTCTATCCCAGGTTAGATAGCCTAAATTAAGGTATTGTAAAAATCATCAAAGAAACCGAATAAACACTATTTCTTTATATGAAGGTTCTTGATACACGGATGCTCCAATGCTATCAGGTTTTTCATTTTGGGAAATCTCCTCATGTTTGTAGGATATGGCCTTTCTTTAGCTCGACTTCCACACAGTTGTACTGTTTCAGACTAGGGGTAACCTATGAAATTGCTCGGTATTATTTTCCATGTAGCAATCCAGTGCCAGATCTATTCTTTTCAATGAAGTTGCCATAGCAGTACTACAGTAGTTCACTTCCGTTCACAGGGTCAGAGATGCTCGCGGGACACGCCTGGAGCTGTGGGCTGTTGTACCTACTGCTAACCTCTCAAGGAAAGAACTCTTTGGAGAGAGATTTATTCTCTTAGGTCACGGCTGTTCTTGTTAAACTTTTAATGCTAATGAAAAGCTGGCTAAGTAAAACTTGGTGCTTGTTTCCATTCTTTCCGACCAGAGTCGGGCCACAAGAAGTTAAAAAGTACCATCCAGCGGAGTACGGAAACGGGAATGGCAGCCGAAATGCGGAAGATGGTGAGACAGCCGAGCCGAGAGTCCACGGATGGCAGCATCAACAGTTACAGCTCCGAGGGGAAGTGAGTGGCATCTTGCTGCGTGGCACCTAGGGATATGGATTGCTTAGGATTTCCTGCTGTGTCACGTATTCTCATAACCGGAAGTTTCGCCGCCTGTTTCTAGCCTGACATTCTATAAACACCAGCGGACAAATAATCAGACGTATCAAAGGAAGAAAGTGCTGTCTTTCACTGAACAGACAGTATGGAACTGCCACATTTAACGACTTTTTTTCATATAGGAAACATACGGCCTAGCTCTGCCACCAGAAGCAGAATGAATATTTAGATGCGAGAAAGTGATTTCTGAATCCCCAATTTCTCTCCAAGCTTTTCTGAGCTTTATGATGCTGTGAACCTGACATGTTTTTACCTAGAAGAATTTACAGTTTCCTGTTTTTAAGATGACAATAATTCATTTTTATCTCAGCATAAAAGAAAAAGGACTTTACCTCATTTTTCCCAATCAAAGCTTTTATTTTTTTAACTCTAAAATTGGGTATCTCTGAAAGTGTATAAGAACATTTTTTTTTTATTTGTGAGAACGTTTACTAAGTTGTGTGGTTACTTAACAAAATCAGCATTTTCACATGCTTAAGAACTTTGGGGTTAGAACTATGTGCTTTAGTCACTAACGTTTCGTGAGATTGCAAGAGATGAACCACTTCCAAGTTTTTCATAATTATCCAGTCACCAGCATTTGACCCCCTTAAAAAAAACTCAAATTTGATAAATTACAGTCTGTAAGGTAGCTTTGTAGGGAATACATGTGCCTTATGACCTGAGTTTGAAGGTGTAAAGGAAGAGCTGGTTTCTGAAGGTTGTCCTCTGACCTCTATAAACAGCCACGGCAATGGCATTCCATGCCTGCATTCACACACACACACACACACACACACACACACACGTAATGATAAGGACAAATTTTCAAAATTGAAGGCATTAAATGTTTTGATTGTAAAGAAGAATTTGTACTTTCCAATAATATTTATTAAATATACAAGCAGCTGTTTAAAGATTTTGCATTCACGTCTTCTAATGCTCATGAATAAACATGTGAAGCTAATGATATTAAATTATAAATATCTAGAATAGTTGACATACTAAAACTTGTTAGAGAGTGCTCCTGAATGGAGCCTCAGGCCTTAAGGTGAAATTCGAAAGCTCCCTTCAATAGCTCTTGAGGCTCATCTGCTTGACTCATAGGTATCATGAGTAAACAACCGGGGTATATCTGCTGATCAAAACTGTTTACAAAGTGCCAAGAGGAGAAGTCTAAATTATGTTTATTCTCTTTCGTTTGCTGTAGCTTAATATTCCCTGGAGTTCGAGTAGGACCCGATAGTCAGTTCAGTGATTTCCTTGATGGACTGGGGCCAGCTCAGCTTGTTGGCCGCCAAACCCTCGCCACCCCTGCCATGGGTAAGGATTATTCTTCTGAAGTTTTGTAGTTGACAAGGTCATTTAGAATTGTATAGTAGTATTACAAATGAAAGTTTACTATTCTCAAACATAAGGCAGACATGACATTGAAGGAATGCAACGCAGTTGTGTGTTAGGATTCACAAAACACAAGCTTAAACAGTAAGGAACAAAATCAGCAACCAATGGTTGAAAGAAGTATGTTCTGGTGACCTCCCTCTTCCTGGTTCAGATGAAATGGTTTGTCTCTACTTTAAAAATATAGGCAAGTTGGATGTAAAATGGGAGGGTATTTAGAAATGGGGAATTAGAATTACTTAAACCATTCACTAAACTGATCAGAGATTGCACACAGTTTATGGAAAAAAGTAAATAATTTCTAAAAAAAAATGAAAACCATGATAACATATTTTTGTGAAAACAATATTGTAAATACAATCACCAGGTATCAAGCACAGATAACCAGACAAAAATAGAAAAGGAAACATTGCTTTTAAATACAAAAGCAGTAGAAAATAGATGTCAACTCAAACTGAATCCATATATGAAAGTTAAAGAGGTGGACTGAAAAAAATTAGAGAGGGGTGTCAGGGGTTAGAGCACTCACTGCCCTCCCCGAGGACCCTAGTTCTCAGAACCCATATTCTGTGGCTGTAACTGCAGGTCTAAGGGATCCAACACATTCTTATGGGCTCACAGGTCACAAGGCATACATAACCATAACCCCACACAGGTGTGCACACATACACAAAATAAAAATAAATCCTTCAAAGATTATATGGCTCAAGGAGTAAAGAATAAATTTGAGAAATCTTATTATAATGAAATTATTTTTTAGAAAAACTGAGTTTTCTAGAACTAAGAAATGTAAGTAAGTTAAGAATTGAAAGATTGCATTATTTTAGAAAAGCCAGGGAGAAAAATGATTAACTGCAGGATAAGCCATTAAGAGGGTATCCAGAATTAATTGGAGAAACAGGAGAATGAAAAGTATAACTAGAAAGATATGGAGAGGGAAAAAAAGTAATTCTAAAGTTTATGTAATCATTGTTCCAGAATGAGGGAAGAGAGCATATGATAGAAGCCATATTTTAAAATTCAGTGATTAAAAACAATTCCCAAACCAGAAGTCTGATTTTAATTGATAATAGATTCTTCTCTCATGCAATACATCCCCAAGTAGTTTCCCCTCCTAACTCATACTTCTAAAAAGTCTCTACAAACTCAAACAACACAAATATGTTAATATTAAAAGTAATGATAATACAACCAACTTCTTATCACAAATGCATGGTTGATTTAATACCTGAAAAAAGAATGTAATTGGCCTCATTAATCAAGAAGAAAATACCCATATTAACATATGGAAGCACATTTGATGAAATCCCATATTAATTCACAGTTTTATAAAACTTACAATAATTTTGGACTAAAGAAAAGCGTACTTAATTTGATAGCTTTACAAAATATGCATCATATTAGTCCCCAACATTTAGATGCGTACAGTGCTGGTGGAAGTTTGATACCAGTACATCATTGGCTGGGATAATATATATATAATATTATATATATATTATTATATATTATATTATAATATATAATATAATATAATATAATATAATATGGTGGTGTTCATATTAACCATCCCAGAAATCACACTTCAGCATCTACCAACGTTCCTCCATTTTTTTTCCTTGTCTCATGGTTTGAACAGAAGCTGCGATTTTCTTGTGTCTTCACTTTCAGGTGATATCCAAATCGGAATGGAGGATAAAAAGGGCCAATTGGAGGTTGAAGTTATCAGAGCCCGGAGCCTTACACAAAAGCCTGGCTCCAAGTCTACCCCTGGTAAGGAAAAGTAGCACTGATGTGACTGGGCTCTTCTCAGGTGTGTTTATTTTAATGTGCATGTTGATTTGCATGCACCTCTGTACACCCATGCAGTGCTCAGAGGAGCCAGAAGAGAGCGCTGGACCTCCTGGAACAGGAGTTACAGGTTGTGAGCTGCCCTGTGAGTTCTAGGAACTGATCCTGGATCCAACTGCAGGAGGAGTATGGACTGTTAACTATTGAGCCATCTCTCCAGTCCCTGGGCAAAGCTTAAATATGAAAAATCTTGAAAATTTTGTTGCATTTTGCTTTATAACTGATCTTAGCTAAAGGGTGAGAAAATAATGCATTTGAAGCTTGATTTTGCTTTAAGCAATCATTTTCCTTAAAAAGCAATTTTCTGTGATATTTGATTTTATAAAAAAGGATCTGGCTTTTGTTTTCACAATTACTTTGTTGAAAAGTACTAGGAAAATGCTGTTATTTTCCAAAAAAAAAAATGTAATTATAGCCATTCTTTGTGCTACATAGTTTTTCTGCATACCTAAAACCACAAAAGAAAACACAAAACATTAAGATTTAAGATGTTTACCTGCACTGTAATGCCAGCCCTGACTTAAGTAAATGAGTCAAGACCACTGAATGGACATTTCTTTGTAATGAGGAAAGACACAGTAGTGGTGATGTATGTATGGATTGTAAGGAGTAGAGTTTTTAGACCTATGAAAATGTCTATGTAATAAAAGTCTCCAAGTCTCCAATGAGGCATCTACTCATAAAAACAGAGTTAGTTCGAGCAATACATTCTTACATGTCTACTCACCTTTGTTTAGCACCCTATGTGAAAGTTTATCTGTTGGAAAATGGAGCCTGTATTGCCAAAAAGAAGACAAGAATTGCACGGAAAACTCTTGACCCTTTGTATCAGCAGTCCCTTGTTTTTGATGAAAGTCCACAGGGTAAAGTTCTTCAGGTCAGTAACACATTTCTTGGCTGGTTATGGTGATATCTATTGGTCTAGCTAAAGATATGGATAGCACTGAGGAAAATCAATTCAGTAATGCCTAATTTACTAATGTCATTAGGTAGACATATATAAACTAGTCAATTTATAATGCAGTATCTATAGTGTTATCAATATGTGATATATGTAGTGGAAAGAAACAAAATTAATGTCTTTCTCTCTCTTTGTCACTTTTTTTTCTCTTCTTGATACATAGCCATCCTGAAGATAGATGATACAGAGTTGGATAGTAGGTAATATTGATGGTAGATAGGCTGATAATAGATGGGTAGATAGGCAGATGATAGATGGAAAGATGATGATAGGTTATAGATAGATGATAGGTAGATATAGAGATAGAGATGGATGGATGAATGAATAGATAGATAGATAGATAGATAGATAGATAGATAGATAGATAGATAGATTAGATGGATGGATGGATGATAGATAAACTTAGATATAGATAGATGACAAGTAGGTAGATAGATACATAGAAAGATACCATGGCAAATATGATAATAATAATTGATTGAACATTACTCAATATCAGATATAAGCCATAAAATGGAAGATTGTAGAAGAAAAAGAATAGAAACCAACAAATAGCTGTTGTTAGGTACTTCCATATATACCTCTTTTAAAGGTTCTAACACCTTTGTTCCCTAAATATCATCATTTCTATAGTAAAAGTATATTTTAGGATCACAGGAATTATGTAATTTGTCAGTATACATTGAGAAAGCAGGGTTCAGAGGGGGTAAATGGTTTACAACCAAACATAGATGAGCCCAAAATTAGAATGCAGAACCCAAGAATGTGTGTACTGAAAGGCTTGTCTGACACCAGTGTAGTTAATAGTAAAAGTGTTTAGAGACTCATCATTATTTATTATATGAAAGGGCAATACTGACTTAAACATATGTGTAGATATTTGTTTGCATGCTTTCTCATAGATAGCCTTGTGTCTTAACCTTTACCTTTTCTACACTTTTACAGAATGAGAGATGTGACCCTCTCACATGTGGAGAAAGGAAGTTCAAATTACATTGTGTTTCTGTCTACAGGTGATCGTCTGGGGTGACTATGGAAGAATGGACCACAAATGCTTTATGGGTGTGGCTCAAATCTTGTTGGAAGAACTTGATCTGTCCAGCATGGTGATTGGATGGTATAAATTATTCCCTCCGTCATCACTGGTGGATCCCACCCTCACTCCCCTGACCCGTCGGGCTTCCCAATCATCTCTGGAGAGTTCATCTGGGCCTCCCTGCATCCGATCATAGTAAACTCTTACCCTTCCAACCAAACTTCACATTTCAGGATAATTATCAGAACCAGATATTTCATGATCAAGAGCATTGTTGGAGACAGACAATCAACTTGTGTTTTGCCTGTAGTAGTTTTTCGGTATTACATCCCAATTGTTGTTTAAAACATGGCTTCATATGACAGAACAAGGCAGACATTCAGGTTACAGAGAGAAGACATGCTAGTGAGAGTCACTGATGCTTCCAGCAAATAGGAAAAGAGGAAACGTCCAGTTCACACACACACACACACACACACACACCCCAAATAGAACAAACTGGAAACTCTCACTCTGAAAAGTTATACGTCACACGTTTCCACACAGACCACAAGCAGGGTTACTTCCCTGGTGTTTAAGGTTGTTTAGTTGTCTGTGTGCTTTAGTTACCTGTGTGCTGTTTGCTGGTTTCTTTTCTCCCCTTGTCTATGTTTCTGTCTTCATTGTCTTTGTGGTTTCTACTAGTTTTGGTTTTGTTTTTTGGTTGGTTTTTTTTTTTGGTATTTTTTTTCCCCTTTGCATTGTCATAACAGGGTTAGTGGTGATAACAGAGGCCCTTCCTTTCTTTTTCCAGAAGCACCAAAAAAGGGCTGAAGCAGTTTCTGTAGCATTTTTCCCCGGATGTTTTCAAAAGCTGGGTGAGGTGAAGCCAGGGAAGGGTACCACTGGCAGTCAGTTCTCAGTTCTTCCAAGTCTTGTATGTACAACCCCTCCCCACCCCCCAAAAAAGAGCTCACCTTCCAAACTGGTAGTCACAGAATCCCATTTCAGTGAAGAGCATATCTGTTTGCATTCCAGATAATTTGTTCATGTTTTCCATTGTTGACATGAAAGACCATGAAAGACTTTCAAGTCGATCTGCAGCTAATGCTGGGGATGAAGGCTAGCCACATAGTATTGCTTCAGAAACCATTTTGCAATGCCTTTTACTTCCAGATAACAAAAGGGAAAAATGCTCACATGTAGGAACCATACTCTCAACTTCCCAAAATGGTGACTAAAAGTGGATTTGAGCCTAAGACACTTCCAGCTATGCCCAGGCTTCTCAGCCATGCTTCAGTGTAGACTCTCCCCTCTGCCCTGGAAAGAGCATGGTATGAGCTGGTTACTATTGCCCTGGAAATTCCAGGTCATATACTCTGCACTAAACTAATGTTCTTATTGAATTTTAGTTTATATTTCTTTAAGGTCAATGCAAGCACAAAGCTTGATTTTTTTTTTTAATGCACACGATTTTACTTTGGGGGAAGCAAAAGAATACAGTCCAATTCCAATTTGCATATTCTTCATTTGGGTTTTCTTGGCCTTGGACCCCCCTTGTGACCCTCTGTGTATGTTCTGCAGGTGCCTAGCCCTGCAGCTACATCAATGATGCTCTCCCTCCTTTTATGAGTCATTCCAACTTTTGTGATTTCACAGTTAGAGCAGCATGACTTGGAGCTGTTCAAAGCTGCATGCATATTTTGTATAAAAAAAATGAAAAAGAAAGAAAAAAGCAAAGAGACAAAAGGTTATTTAATAATGTATGTTAGCTCCACATAGGCCAGCTTGTATGTTGCATGTACTTGTACAGTTTGCTTGTTAATTAATATACTGAACTAATCAAGAAATCTAAGCCATCCATTTTTGTTACAGACATTTTGCAGGTTTTAGCCAGACTCAGTACTTGGGTCTGGGGTGAAATGTCTATAGATGGACCTTATTTTTTACCCTCTGGAAAACGTGATGTAGTATGGACCAAATTCCTTCTAATAAATATTTTGGTGTAGATTCCTCCCGTGGGGCTGTAACACATGTAGACACTGTGTACACACTAGGTTTTAATATCCATAGACATACTGCCTGCACCAAGTGAATTATTTATTATGATTTCCACATGTCAGAATTACCTGCCCATCATTCCACAGGGCACAGATTGACCACCACTCACCATGCTGTGCAGGAAGAACCGAAGCAATTGGTGCACTTCTACTAGATTCCGTTCTGTCTTAGTGGCCAACGACCAACTAATTATAATTGGGTAGAATCTTTCTATTTTGACCACTTGTCTTAACACTCCCCTGTGCTTTTAAATGAACTTCCCACTCATGTATGTAAACATGTTTAATAAAATTTACTTTTCATGTCAGTTAGTAGCCATCTGTGTTCTATGTTTTGCCAGCTTTCCATTGTGGATTCTTTGGTGCAAAATGAGAGCCAGTTGGTGGGCAAGGGAGGCTGGGGTTTGCTGTCTGCTGCGGGCATTTGATTGACCTGTCACTGCACTATATATGTCTTAACTTATGACCTGAGAGGTACTTTGCATTACAATATGAGTATTCACGTTGTCAGCCTGTCTAAGTGAGCACATGACTATACTTCTGAAAAGTGGCATTATTAAAAACAATAAATCTCAGTAAGAATCGAATAAAGGTTGTTTTCTCTGCTGCTGTTTGAATGTGCTAATAAAAGAGGCAACTCTATTGTCCAGTTGACAAATCATTTCAAGTTATATGACATATTGAAGTATCAATTCTTGCGCCTCTTGTCATAGTGTCTTGCCCTCTCAATCTTTCCCTTCTAGCCCATTACCTAGCTTATGGGACCTTGCCTAAAATAGGCTGACTTGAAATAAACTAAGTCTGCGTTGATTCCATCACTAAAATAATACCTTTAATATTCATATATAAGATAATTTGTATGTTAAAAGAGACTTAACTTCTTTGCTTAAACTACACTGACTTCCATGTAATTAGGAAAAATATACACTGTGGTATCAATATTATGTCTGACATAAACAAGCACCTTAAGATATCACACCAGCATTTGTCTGTGATTTTAAAATAATTGGCTTTTGCCCATGGAGTGATTAATTGATTGGCCTACAAAGGAGGAAATTACTTATTATGTTAGATTGAAAGGAGGCTGAAGCCATATTCAGTTCCATTGACAACAAACTGTCAGGGAAGCTGTTTCAAATGCTTTTATTAACATATGGCTGGATGAGGGTGGATGTCAAACATGCCATCGACACCAGAGGCAGCTGAAGGTAGCTTTAGGATTCTTTGTCTAGACCAGAAGAGAAAATAAATCTCTCTTTTCAAGTCAGAAAAAGCTACCATGTCCTATTATTTCAGGTTTACACGGATGGAAAAGGGAGCATGAATTTGAAAGAGAGTTCAGGAACATATTGGAGTCTTTAGAGGGTTGGAAGAAAAGGAAGAAATAATATAATTATTTCAAAAAGTAAAAAAAAAATTCGAAGCCTTTAAAAGCACACTTGTTAAGATTTAATGGTTTTTTGCTGGCTTTCTTAAAATTTCAGGCTGACATATATGACTTCAGAATTAGTGGACAGATAGTACTTAAGTTGTAAAAATAAATATTTGGAATACAAAAAAGAAAACAGTGGCTTTACCTCAAAGAGTTACCATCTATTAAAAAAAATGATTGCATAAACAGACAATCCTGGTGGCATCAGTTTATATAGAAAGGGATCCCATGACACTGTGCTGGGCTCTCACGGACATTCTATAAGAACTACTACTATGACTCCTGATTTGGACAGCAAGCTCTGCAGGTTAGATCCACTAAGAGCAGGAGATGATGCTGCTGATTAGTAAAGAGATCAGACAACATCCAAACTCAAGACCACCTCAGGCTCCCACCACGATAAACCGTTCTTCATTTTGTTAGTGTCCCACACTGACTGCACTTGACCTCGATCTGCTTCTTCCCAGGCGGGAAGGACCTGAAGCCAGCTCATTCTTCTTTGAAACATTCCTGTCCATCTTTGCTTTCTATATGCTGCTTACATGACAGGGGCTACTATGGGAGTAATAAGGAAAAAGCCCCTTTCCAAGGCTTCTCCTCTTAACTGTCCCTCCCTCACTCTGGTCAGCACCTACATTTTGCAGCTTCTTGAGTAGATGTATCACGTACAGCTGTCAGGAACAGTTTTAGTGATGGAGATATATCAAAGTTTCCCCTAGCTAGGTCCCAGTCTTATCCTTAGTTTTAAACTTAACTTTTTTTTTTTTTAGTACTTGTCTCTAATCCAACAATGGTCCCTCAATCTTGCATCAGCCATAAACCTACATTATGGAGTTGAGTTGGTCATTCTAGAACCTTGTGTCTGTAGAGCTTCAGGGTGCTTCATGGGACCTAAAATATAAGTTACTTCCTCTCCAAACAAATTCAATGACTCTTCTTCTGTTTCCAGGGCACCATCTCTTCTTTCAGGCTTGGAAGTCATCGGGGCTTTTCACAACATCCATTCTCTATACAGTACTTCCATCCCAAGTCGAGCCATTCAAAGGAAACAAAAATACTTCTTTACAATTCTGAAAAGTAAACCAAGCCTGATCAACTGGAAACAGTTTAATTATTTAATTGTATGTGTGTGTTAGATATAAAGTCGCAGATTAACAACAACACAGCAACACCTCACTGACTTCAACACCCCCCCCCCCTTTGACTATTTGACAGATTGTCCAAACCAAAAAATAAATAAATAAACAGAAACGTTGGAATTGATTGGCCCCATAAATCAAAGAGACACTTAAAGAATATTCTATCCAAACACTACAGATTGCACATTCTTCTCAGCAGCTCATGGAGCATCCTCTGAAACTGATCACATATTGAGACAGAAAGCAAGCCTCAACAAATATAGAAAAACTGGAAAAAATCCTTTTATTTTATCTGACCACAATAGAATAGAGGTAGAAGTCAACAACAAGAGAAACTACGGAAAATACCTGGGGTATGGTGATTAGAGAATACATTGTTGAATCATTCGTGTGTCATTGTAAAAATCAAGCTACAAATGAAAATTCCTAGATGTGGTTGAAAGTTAAAATACAACATACCAGAGCATATAAGATACAATAAAGGTAATTGTATAAGGGAAGTTTATAGCTCTGAGTTCAGACATGGAAATATCAGGGAAATCTCAAATAACTTGCTGACACAGCTTAAGGCTGTGGCAAAGCCACAACAAACCAAACCCAAAAGCAGCAGGTGGAGATAAGTAATTAAGATCATGGCAGAAATTAATGAAATAAAAATGATAAAATAAAAGGAATAAATGAGAGGAAAGTTCTTTATTTAAAATATTAACAGTAATAATTAATCTCAGAGCCAAAATAACCAGAAAAGATAAAGAAGACCGAAAATTAATTAGAGATGAATAGGGAAACATTATGCTGGATAGCAATGAAATTTAAAAAAATTCTCTAGTGCATATAATAGAAACCTATATCAAATTGGGAAATACCAAATTGGAAAAAGGAGTAAATACATTTCTAGATGAATATAATTCTTAGCCAAAGTTAAAACTTGGACAAGGATGAGACCAATAGACATGCAAACGTGAAAGGGTGAAATCTTGAAGCTTCCATCCTAGACAGCACTACAGGAGATTAAAGGGTTGAGAGCGAGAGAATGAGACTGAGACTTTTCTAGGGAAGAGACCCCCAGTTTGTGATGAATACCAAGCCCTAAAATCATATACATACTGATACATATACATAATAACATATTCATAACACAAATTTATCAGAATATACTTTGTATGTTTAGAATGTGTGTGTGTGTGTGTGTGTGTGTGTGTGTGTGTGTAGCAATTTAAGACATAGAGGCCATGGATTTGAATGAGAACAAGGAGATACATGGGTAGGGCTAGAGGGAAAAAAGGGAAGGAGAATGATATAGTTAAATTTTAATTTCAAAAAATAAAAAAATGAAATAAAAACTTCAACAGATCTATAGAAAACAATAAACTTGAAACAGTAAATATATATATAAAAAAAAAACAAGATAGTCGGGCGGTGGTGACGCACGCCTTTAATCCCAGCACTTGGGAGGCAGAGGCAGGCAGATCTCTGTGAGTTCGAGACCAGCTTGGTCTACAAGAGCTAGTTCCAGGACAGGCTCCAAAACCACAGAGAAACCCTGTCTCAAAAAAACCAAAAAAAAAAAAAAAAAAAAAGAAAAGATAGAAAGAAAAAGAAAAGAAAAAGTTCAGGTCCTCTGCCAGACAAGATATTGTCTTGTGTAATTGTGGCATAACAGCTGGGAGAGTAGTCAACCACATTCTTATTGGATATGTGGCCTGCTCTCAAGGAGGGAATTCATACGTGGTCCCAAACCTAGCTAAAAGTCCATATAGTATGCACCTTTGAGCTTTTGTCAAAGAAGCTTCTTTAAACAGTGGGCAGCAGCCAATACCAAGGCCCATTAGCCAGTCAAAGTGTTAAAATAAGTGAATGTTGAGGCTTAGCCCTAGATGAGACATTATGATATTACTATCATTACAAAGACTCAGGTGACCTCATGGAAGAGGTGACAGAAAGGACATGGGAGTCAGAGGAGAGGGAGAATGCTGTCTTCCACACATGACAATCTTTTCACTCCTTACTTAGAACAGCTGTCGTACCTGCCTACACAACCTGCGCACCATCAAATCAGTCAGTATTCCAGCCTTGACGGGAGAGCAAGTAAGAAGACTCCACCCCATCTGAGGAACTGTTGGCAATTGATGGGTACAGGAGAGGACGTCATATTTCTTTAGGGATATGGCTACTGCTACGTTGTCCATGTTCTGGAGAACGACTCTACACCCATAGACATCCAGGCAGCAGTAACTGAACTCATGTTAGAAGAAGTAAAGAAGGACAAGAGAACATGGAAATGGAAGGTAGACATATTAGGGTTATTGGTGGGAGTAGGAGAAAGTGTTTGTGTGGAATGATATCAAGATACATTATTTACATGTATCAAATTGCCAAAAAGAAAACCTGAAAATATTTTTTTAAAAAAATCCCAGGTCCTGAGAATTAATTCACTGCAGAAGTCTATCAACCTTTAAATTAGAACCAACACCATGACTTCTCAAATTATCCCATAAAACACAGAAAGGAGGAAACCTGAACTCTTGTTCTGAAACAAGTATCCTCATATTAAAATGAGATAGAAACACAACAAAGAAAGTTATACACTCGTCTTCCTAATGAACATAGATGTAAAAGTTCTCATTAAAATACTTGCAAACTAAATACCAAAACATATCAAGAAGACTATTTATCATGATCGAATTGATTGTATTCCAGAGACTCAGGAATGGTTTGACATGCATATATCAAAAAGAAAAATTCATAATATAAATGGATTCAAGAAAAAAAGTCACATGATCATGACAGTAAATGCAGCAAAAGCCTTTGACTAAAGCTATTTCATCTTCATGATAAAAGCTGAGAGGCTAAGGGTGAAAAAAACCATCACAGAATAAGGATGGAAAGAATCTAAGAACTAGAAAATGGAAATGGGTACTGTGAGGAGGAGAGCTGTCTCCTGAACACAAAGTATCTGTGCATCCTTGAACTCACAGCACCAATGACCATCTTCACAAGACCATGCCTATCAGTATTCCATATGGAGGATGTAGGGATCATGAAACCAGACCTCTTCCTGGGAAGCTATA